TACTGAGACAACAGATTGATGGTGATGCGCAAAAAAACTACCGCACAGTTAGACAAAATCAGAAAAAATATAATTGAGATATTTAAAAAGATCAGATTTCAAATAGAGATTCAAACCAATCTAAACAGTGTTAATTTTCTTGACGTAACTTTTAATCTTCGAAAAAACTCCTACCAACCTTTTAAAAAACAAAATGACCAACTTCTCTACATCTACACTGAATCAAACCGCCCACCCCAAGTGCTTAAGCAGATCCCTCTCTCCATTAATGATCAACTATCGCAAAATTCTTCTGATGAAAAAATATTTAACGCATCAAAAACAGAATTCAAAGAAGCACTTAAACTAAACGATTTTAAAAACTTTAACTTAAAGTACAACCTAAAAAAAAAGACACCTCCCAAAAGAATGGTTTAACCCACCCTACAATAAAAGTATCTCTACCAATGTTGGCCAAATCTTTTTGCAATTAATAGATAAACATTTCCCACCTTCAAACCCAATATTCAATCGAAACACTACAAAAATTAGCTAGAGCTGCTCAAACAACATTTCAAAAATCATAAAAAGTCACAACAAAAAAATAAATTTAATTAACACTACTTAAAATCTCCCTTGCAATTGTAAAAAAAATCTGCCCGCTGAATAAAAATTTTAGACCGACAAACATTATTTACAAAATGTATAACATCTTCCCCAAACACACCCAGCAAAGCATACATTGGTTTATCAGGAGTGTGGAAAAAGAGGTATGCAAACCACAAGCAATCATTTACAAATAAGAAACTTTTAAATGCAACCACTCTCTCAAAACATATATGGGAAACTAAGGAAAACCTGAAAGAAACACCTGAATTAACTTGGTCTATCCTAAAAAAAGCCCCTTCTACAACAATACAACAAAAAAATGTTTACTTTGTTTATATGAAAAACTAATCATTTCACTTTATAAAAATTCTTAAGAGCTACTTAATAAAAAAACTGAGTTAATTTCCAAGTGTCTTCACAAAAATAAATTTCTATTAAGCAACCACAAACCTGAAGATTAGATACACGCGGTCGTAACAATAAAAAAAGTTTTTTCCATATAGGTTTTTTTTGTATAATTTCAATTGTATATAATTTTTAAACGAACAAACTATATTTGTATTTCACCTGATGATTGTAACAGCATGAAAGTTGTGAAAATCACGTAGTTTTGTTTTCACAACTTTCATGCTGCAAAACCTTAATAGGTTTTGCAGGCTTCAGATTTTTATTAACATATTAACTCTTAACCTGTGAGTAAAAATCTGTGACTTCTTTAGCTGAAGAAGCTAAGAGCTTAATTTAGAGAAATTAGATGATCTGTTTTAAACTGATGAAGATAATTAACAAGATGAGTATCCAGTTTAGGCTGATTTATTTAATTATTTAACTGAATGTTGTTAAAGCATAACCTTTTTTGTGGGATAAAAAGGATTAAATAATAATGTCGATTTGATTCTACTATATATATATATATATACATATATGTATATATATACAGATTTTTATTTTTAAACATTTTTTGGAAACATTTTATAGGCAGGAGAAGTTTTAAGAAATGACTAATTTAATTCAAAAATAAAATTTATTTATATTTCAAATAAATTTTGACAGCATAGTGTCTTTTGAGTATTTTTATGTCTAGAAGTTTGTTTGCGGTTGGCATAGTGTGAGGAAACAATGCATTTGTAAAACACATTTTTTATTTTTGCATTTTATTTTTGCATTTTCCATTCAAGGTGCAATTAACCTTTGTTTTGCATTTACAAATATTATTCTTTTAGAAATTAGTTTTTATTAATTAATCCAATGTTGCGGCCATTCTTATTTTTTTTTTTGTATTTTGTACAGCTAAAACCAACTTTAATGATTTGATTAAAATTTTGTATAATTGTGTATTTTGTTTTCAAGGAGCAAATTATTATAAGTTTGTTAGCAAGAAAGTTATAAAAAATAAAACAAAACAATATACTTTACTTATAAAAGTAATAACATTGTAATAGTGTTATTACTTTTATAACGCACTTATAACTTTTATAATTCATTCTTTGTTAAAACAACAATAAGTAAAACAAATAAGTAATCACAAATTTTAATTTAAGTAGAAAAGAATCTAGAAGAATAGAGTGAATATTCAAATAATATTTAAAACTTGAGTAACTTATAAAAACGAGACATGCAACTTTATAAAAACGTAATGTATAAAAAGGGTAGCATTTTGAAAAATGTTATAAAAGGTCCGTAAAAATTATTAATTTTTAAATCAACCAATTTTTATTGGTTGAACACTATTACATGTTATTACTTTTATAATGCAGTTAGTGACTAGAGTTTTATTACTTTTGTAGTTGTAAGTTTATTGTTTTATTTTTTTATAACTCTTTCGCTTACAAATTTAAGTTGATCCGCCCCTTGAAAACAAAGTACACAGCTTTGCATTAATTGAATTTTGAATACCAGATATTTTTCCAGGTTTTGCATTTTGCAATCGCTGAATTCAACCATTATTGTTACATTAAAATTACACAAATATATTTTACATACACATTGCAATTTATATTTTCACTTTCCTCTTAAAAAAATAAGTTAAATAAAGGAAAGTCATTCTTTTTATTGTAGACTTGAACTGTTTTTTGTTTTTTATTTTTTTGCTTCGCCTTTTCTAATTTTGTTGCTGAATGTAACAATGTAATAACTATATATATATATATATATATATATATATATATACACACAGGGGCTATTCTAGGAAAAAAATTTGGATGGCAGTCCCCCCTTCTTCCCCTGTCCTAAGGATATTTTACGGAATTATTGCCA